GACGATTTTTTCGGGCATGGGGGTGATCCAGTCTCTATTGTTCACTAATGTCTTGACGAATTCTGTTTTGCCCGATTTCGAGGGTCCTGCAACCACCATGGTAAACTCGTGTTTCAATTGAAAAGAAGGGAGGGGTGTCTCCTCGGAATACATGTTGATCAATGAAGGAAAAGTTGGGTTCAGGGTCTTATTTATAGTTAACACAGAAATAGGCGTTTGGACTGTTGAATCTCGCCTCGACAGATGGGGCAAAACTGAAAGGAAGGAGCACACAAAGCACAGCAGCATACGTGTCCGCAAGGTAGAAAAACGATTTGTAATTCCTCGTCTAAACAAATGTGACATTTTCCTCGAGCCTGGACGTCTGGTTGTGGGTTCAGTAGAGGTTTGATCTCAGGTAAAGGTTTATATCCCTGCTGATTTAAACCCGCAATAAACACATTCATCACCCACCCTCGTCCTTTATACAGATTGATGTAAGGACAATTGGGGTTCCAATAAGCATGTTCTGCATAAGGATCGTCCTCGGGATCCCAATTACTAAAAGTAAATCCACAATGAAAACAGGTAGCGTTATCTTTCACTCCCTTGTAGTAAAGCCCGGCTCTAGCTAGGTCTGGTATTTTTCCTAAGAGAGGTTCTGGCCATCCGTGCTCAAAAGTAGCTTCTCTCTTTGAGAGCCGAGCATACTGGGGATAACGCATGGGTTGATCTAGCAATTTCTCAGTCATGACTGAACTTTTGATTTGTATTGCTCCCCTTTTTATAGGGAAGAAGAAAAATAACAACACATAAAACAACAATTCAATTTTTTTAATTCAAAAAGTCAAACATATCAACATATCAATAACCATAAGGTAGAGTGTTATAATTCTCTACAATTTGTCTCTTGTCATACACAATTCTATACTTTTTCTCTAATGGTTTGGTCACGAGCTCATGATCACGAGTCCTCTGGATTTTGTTGGGATAAGTTACTGTCACTTCCTCTATTTCTTCTTTCAGCATTTTTTCTAAAGTCTCTAGGGACACGATCTGGGAGGTACGATAGTTGAGAGTGATTCCTTTGACTTTATGAACCTCGGTTCCTTTGGCCGTCCGGTAACCATAATTTTTAGGGCCTGCCGACATGAATTTGATGATGTGATCCCCGTCTAATTCGTCGGTCCATTCTCCTAAACTATTACCCAAGGTAGGATTAAAGGCTCCTTCCCGATGTTGGTAAATGATACTGTCCGTATCGAAATAAAGGACCCGATCTCCTAAAGGTTGTAAAGTCTCGTAGAGGTGTAAGCGGGCATGCGCGGTAGTAAAACAAGCCAGGACCACGTTTCCAAAGGGACATTCTTCGACGAATTCCTGTTTGTCTTGATAATTCACTAACATCTTGTCTTCATTGGGGTTCTCTTTATTATCTAAGAGTTGCATGCCCTTGATGTCGAGAGTCGAATCTTGTAAGAGTTGCTGTAATTCCTCTTCTTCGTCCAAGTATCTGGTTTTGGGTAATAACAAGCGTTGAGCAAATTTTCCCCACAGACAATTTAAAAAGAGTTTAGCAATGGTTCTTCTCACTGGATTCTTCTCGATACTGAGAATGTCCATTCGGATGCCTGTTTTGTATAAGACTTCTCGAATGTAATCTTGTTCTTGTTCTGAGGTCTTACAGTCGAGGGGAAATCCGGAGGCTTCCTGTTTGATCTTGAGGAAGGTATCGATGTAAGATCTGAATAACTCTTGACTGCTTTCTTTAAAATGCCATACTTCGTAGATTCGATCTAAGGTATATCCCATGTCTAGGGCTTTATGTAATTCGGTCGTCACCCAAGTACCCGTGAGACTACGTTCCTGGTCGGTGTGTGGACATCGATCTTGAGACGTAGAGTCCTGTCGTTCGGCACACGTGCGACATAAGGGAAATAATAACTTGCCTCCCGTCCGATAAGGTAATACGGGGTGATAGAGGTCTCGGGGAGGTAAGACCCGACAGTGAATGAGACCGAAATAACTTCTCACGTCCTGGAACTCGTCTGTGATGATCTCGGGATGCCCTACGGGAAAAGGTCGGTGTTTCAACACGTAAGGGTATAGGGAACAAACGTCCACGTATCTCATGTCCCCTTCCTCACAATATAATCGGGTGGCATTGGTCCGACCTCCGTACAGGGCTTCTCGAGGTTTCAAAGGATCCGGAATGTCCAGGTTTCCTACAAATTGCTGTAAACTCTCATCTTTTTGCACTTGCTGATCGAAATCGTGCTCCCAGATACCACGGACGGTATACCCCATGTTTTCTAAATCGCCAGTCCTTCTGAGGGTTTCTTCGTGTAATTGCTGGTAAGTAAATTGGGTCCGATGAGGATGAGTTTCGGTCTGTAAACTGGGATAGCAGGTGGGGCATCCGTGCCAATAGCACCCGTAAAATTCGTAGACGGTGCGAGTCGCTTCCTGGTATCCGTCGACGGTATAATTTCCGATCTGGATTTCGCCCCCGTTTCTGGCATGTTGTATGTGACATCCAGTCTGTTGACTCATCCAGGTGAGCCACCGACAGGCTTTAGCCGAATATTGTCGTGCCGGTTGATACCCGAGGTTCGGAATGATGGCTATGGTCTCTTTAGGCATGAATTGTCGACGGTAGGCTAAATTAGCAGCACTGGCAAAAGTGATGGATTCCTGGAAAGGGTCCACATTGACCAAACTCTTGAGGGTGGCTCTAAACTTTGCACAGCATCGGCGTAAAATGTCGACGTCCGAGACACAATACTCTACAAACTCTTTCTGGAAATCAAATACTTTTCCCCTCTGTTGTTCGTACCATTCAAAAAAAGCCCGTCGTCCACTGATAGACATTTCGTCCGGATTGTAGAAAGCTGCCGGTGGATAAGGTCCTACGTAATTCTGGTTCTGTTCCGTATTGAAAAAGTGGGGGAAATAGCCTTTCTTCAATTCGTCGAATCCGAAAGCGGAGGGCATCTTGGCTAATGCAAACGGTAAGAAATTATACGAGTCGATGAATTTCAGTCCGCATATTTCCATGTATAAGATCTTACTGCCGTTCATGATGACGTTAGGTTTCAGGCAAGAGGAATGCACCAGGTGATTCAAAATGAACTGTCCGTCGTAGCCTTTGAAGTTATGGGCGATGATGATGGCCTCGTCGTGTACTAAAGTGGAATTGTTAGTCCCTGTAGTGGGTTGTAATAACCAGTCCATGAACTTCTTTAAGGTGTCTGGTCCTTGAAATAGGTGCTGACGGGGTCCCATGTGTTGACAATGAGGACAGGGTTGGTCTATGGGTAAGTGACTGCAATGTTGACAGACGCGGTGTGCCACACACAGATTAGGGATGTGAATGCCGGTTTCCTGAGTGCATTCGAAATCGAAATAGATGTAAAACTCTAAGGTCCCTTTCCCCTTCTTCTTCTTCTGGGGCTTCTGTTGTACGTAGCACTGATGATCGGTATCGACGATTTTCTTACAGATCTTACACTGTTTCTGTCCTCCGCATTTGTGATGAGGGAATAATTTCTTAGGTATCCAAGACTGACACTTCTCGCATTGTTCCATTAAATTGCAGACAGTAGTGGTAGTCTTCTTACTATGAGGTCTTAAATGATTTTCGTAGCAGGTCCTGTTCTTAAACATTCCATGGCATTCCCGACATTTAATCTCGATCCCTTCATCGGGACAATTAGGGTGTTGTCCTAAACAATAGGTACAGCGATGAGGGCACTTGGAGCGATGCTCTGTGACATTCCTGTACCCCACGTCGCATTGATCACAGTAATATTGGTTCCCCGTTACTCCCGGCATGGATATGATGGCATCGTAATGATGGTCGTCTAACAATATGTTCAAACAAGTTCCATCTCCCCAGCCTTTGAAGATGCGCTCTAAGGTGAGTTTAGTCGAAGTAGACTTGAACTGAAATATTTTCAGTCGATACTGGGGAGCTAACACCTGTTGTAATTTCGTCCACTCTGCATATCCACAAGCTTGAGTGATATCACACCCGGCTTGTTCCATGAGGGCTATGGCTTCTCGTTTCTGGTTTAAGGATTCCTTATCTCCCTTCCGCATACGGCGCCATTGTTTTTCCCATTCGGGGTCTGGATGTTCGGGTTTTTGACTGTGTAATCGAGTCACGACGATGGCTCTAGCTAAACAAAATTTATCCCAGGGATTGACGATCCGAACGATGGCTCTTTTATTGTTCTTAAAAGTCTCCTTATTCACTTGTAAATGTTTGGTTCTGTCTCCACCACTTCCCTCGGGATACTTGACCCGAAACATATCAAATTCCATGCCCCCGTCGCCCAGTTTGAACCCCTTTCTGGATTGTTGCACGGCTTCAATCTTGTCTAAAATGACGTCCTCGTTAAAATGTTTACATTGAGTAAACTCGTACCAAATCTCTGATTCCAGAGATTTGTGGCGTATGTTCAGGCGGAGGTAATCGTTAGGATTACACTGCATTTTCGATTTGAAAGTTTGTAACATGTCTCTGAATAATCGCCGAACGAATCCTCTGTTTTCTTCCTCTGGAAACTCCTTAAAAATCACAGTGTAAAAATCCTCTTGAGCTTTAAATTTTCTAGAGTGCACCCTTTCATTCACTGTGACTCGATAATACTGGGATATGGCCTTGGGTTTGGGTGGTGAATGAATAGGTAACTTTGACCCCTCATGCGCCCTAGTCCTTTGCTGTTGCTGTCGTTGTTTTTCTAGTTGAGCTCTTCTCTGTAATAGTCTGGCATTTCTTTTCCGAAGCTTTAATTCTCGCTCTTTATTTTCATCAAGAATTTGATCTAATTCTCTCTCCCGTAATTGTCGTTGTTGTTGTTGTTGTTGTTTTAATTGAGCTCTTCTCTGTAATATTTTAGCATTTTTTTCCCGGAGCTTTAACTCTTGCTCTCTTTTCTCATAAAGAATTCGATCTAATTCTCTTTCCCTTTTTTTCCATTTTAATAATCGCTGAGCATGTAACTGTTTTTCTCTAGTAGAATCCATGACCCCCCAGGCAGGGAGGTGGCTCTGACTGTAGAATGAGCTGAAAGTAGGAGAAAAGCCGTATTTATACAGTGGATGACGTCACAATGCATAGGTAAGCATATTTTTTTTGCACACGGCCCTAAACAAACTTGAATCGCTGCCAAGTATTACCTGTGTAGTCAGCATAAAAAAAACGTAGGTCTATCGTATTGATGCACAGGGCCCTTACAGATGATGCAACAGGTATAAAAGTCGCTGCCAAAATCGTAGTAGCAGCAGCGTATATAGTGTAATGTAAACACAGTGTAAACACACCCCCGTATTTAGGGGGATTATATGTAATGAATTGACCCACCTATCCCCCCTAGGGGCTGCACTCAGTTGAACCCCCTATCCCCCACAGGGGCTGCACTCCGTTGAACCCCCTATCCCATCCCAGCCCCAAAAGTGCACTCAGTTGAACCCCCCATCTAGGCTGCTTATACTACTGATAAATATCCTGAGCGATTCATAAATGATAAATTAAGTGGTCAAAACAATTTAATTTGAAAGCTCCCCTCCCCATAATCCACACACTTTGAATTTCCGCAATGTGTATGTATTACTTACCGAATATATCATGACATTTGATTCCATGAATGCTCGGCAATTCAAAGTGGGACGGCGGCTTTACGTTGACCACGATGGTGACGGCACACTTTGCAACGCGAATTTCGCGTATGTGGACATTGGCGGCAATGCTGACACAATTGCTGTGGTAGAGTGCGCAATTTACAATTTACCAATCCATGATTGTTTGGACATTTGTAGCTTCAGCAAATGTATACAATTCCAGTGATAGCATTATAACAATTATGCTTATCAGCGTAGCTGGTGTTGCCTTGCGTCCCTCTATCTTTGCTCTGTTGTCACGGCGCGAATTCTGCACGGACTTTATAAACGTCATCATTTTCATGTGACCTTTACCCCCCCCCCCCCCCCCCCATCCATTTCGTGATGAATCTAATCACACCCTTATAAGCATTAACCGATTGCAAACCAAAATAAGGCCAACATTTTTTTTATTAAATGGTTTACGGGAATTTTTTTAAAAAATAGAGTCGGGGGGGGGGGGGGGGGAGAAATAAAAAAAAATAATAAAATGCAAATTTTCATACAGTCGAACAAAAAAAAATAAAAATAAAATTGAAAAATGTGTGTGTGTTTTTTTTTATGAAAGCTCAAGTGAGCTGATTCCATGCTCGGCAATTCAAAGTGGGACGGCGGCTTTACGTTGACCACGATGGTGACGGCACACTTTGCAACGCGAATTTCGCGTATGTGGACATTGGCGGCAATGCTGACACAATTGCTGTGGTAGAGTGCGCAATTTACCAATTTACCAATCCATGATTGTTTGGACATCTCGGACATCTTGTATTCAGCAAATGTATACATTATAACAATTATGCTTATCAGCGTAGCTGGTGTAGCCTTGCGTCCCTCTATCTTAGCTCTGTTGTCACGGCGCGAATTCTGCACGGACTTTATAAACGTCATCATTATCATGTGACCTTTACCCCCCCCCCCCCCCCCCATCCATTTCGTGATGCTAATCACACCCTTATAAGCATTAACCGATTGCAAACCAAAATAAGGCCAACATTTTTTTTATTAAATGGTTTACGGGAATTTTTTTAAAAAATAGAGTCGTTCATACAGTCGAACAAAAAAAAATAAAAATAAAATTGAAAAATGTGTGTGTGTTTTTTTTTATTAGCTCACCTGAGCTGAAAGCTCAAGTGAGCTTTTCTGATCACGCGTTCTCCGTCCGTCCGTCTGTAAACTTTTCACATTTTCAACTTCTTCTCAAGAACCACTGGGCCAATTTTAACCTAACTTGGTACAAAGCATCCTTAGGTGAAGGGGAATTTAAATTGTTAAAATCAAGGGCCAAGACCCCTTCCAAGGGGAGATAATCAAGAAAATACGAAAATAGGGTGGGGTCATTAAAAAATCTTCTTCTCAAGAACCACTGGGCCAGAAAAGCTGAAACTTATGTGGGAGCATCCTGGGGTATTGTAGATATTAAAATGTTAAAATCATGACCCCCGGGGGTAGGGCGGGGCCACAATAGGGAATCCAAGTTTTACATAGAAATATATAGAACAAATCTTTAAAAATCTTCTTCTCAAGAACCACTGGGCCAGGAAAGCTGAAACTTATGTGGAAGCATCCTTGGGTAGTGTAAATATTAAATTGTAAAAATCATGACCCCCGGGGGTAGGGCGGAGCCACAATAGGGAATCCAAGTTTTACATAGAAATATACAGAACAAATCTTTAAAAATCTTCTTCTCAAGAACCACTGGGCCAGGAAAGCTGAAACTTATGTGGAAGCATCCTTGGGTAGTGTAGATATTAAATTGTAAAAATCATGACCCCCAGGGGTAGGGCGGGGCCACAATAGGGAATCCAAGTTTTACATAGAAATATATATAACAAATCTTTAAAAATCTTCTTCTCAAGAACTACTGGGCCAGGAAAGCTGAAACTTTTATGGAAGCATCCTTGGGTAGTGTAGATATTAAATTGTAAAAATCATGACCCCCGGGGGTAGGGCGGGGCCACAATAGGGAATCCAAGTTTTACATAGAAATATATAGAACAAATCTTTAAAAATCTTCTTCTCAAGAACCACTGGGCCAGGAAAGCTGAAACTTATGTGGAAGCATCCTTGGGTAGTGTAGATATTAAATTGTAAAAATCATGACCCCAGGGGGTAGGGCGGGGCCACAATAGGGAATCCAAGTTTTACATAGAAATATATAGAACAAATCTTTGAAAATCTTCTTCTCAAGAACCACTGGGCCAGAAAAGCTGAAACTTATGTGGAAGCATCCTTGGGTAGTGTAGATATTAAATTGTAAAAATCATGACCCCCGGGGGTAGGGCGGGGCCACAATAGGGAATCCAAGTTTTACAAAGAAATATATAGAACAAATCTTTGAAAATCTTCTTCTCAAGAACCACTGGGCCAGGAAAGCTGAAACTTATGTGGAAGCATCCTTGGGTAGTGTAGATATTAAATTCTTAAAATCATGACCCCCGGGGGTAGGGCAGGGCCACAATAGGGAATCCAAGTTTTACATAGATATATATAGAACAAATCTTTAAAAATCTTCTCAAGAACCACTGGGCCAGGAAAGCTGAAACTTATGTGGAAGTATCCTTGGGTAGTGTAGATATTAAATTGTTAAAATCATGACCCCCGGGGGAAGGGCGGGGCCACAATAGGGAATCCAAGTTTAACCTCGAAATATATGGAATAAATCTTTAAAAAACTTCTTCTCAAGAACCTCTGGGCCAGGAAAGCTGAAACTTATGTGGAAGCATCCTTGGGTAGTGTAGATATTAAATTGTTAAAATCATGACCCCCGAGGTTAAAGTGGGGCCACAATAGGGAATCCAAGTTTTACATAGAAATATATAGAACAAATCTTTGAAAATCTTCTTCTCAAGAACCACTTGGCCAGGAAAGCTGAAACTTATATGGGAGCATCCTTGGGTAGTGTAGATATTAAATTGTTAAAATCATGACCCTCGGGCGTAGGGCGGGGCCACAATGGGGAATCCAAGTTTTACATAGAAATATATATAGAACAAATCTTTTAAAAAGATCTGCATCACCCAAGTTACTCAGGTGAGCGATGTGGCCCATGGGCCTCTTGTTTTTTTTTTTCAATTAATTTGCCAAAAATGTGAAAATTTACAAAGAGCAACTCAAAAACGAAGATAAACTTTACAATATCATAGTACAAGAATGATTCTGAATCACTGGGTCAAACACATAAATTCATATTTCACTTCCTCTTCTTATTTTTTAGCACTATTCGTTTTGACTGGCTTCGTTTGTCTACAGGATCGACAGATCGGCCGCACTATTCCAAACTCCTCCTTAAGTCTTATGATTTCTTCATTTTCTAATAGTTCTGTGTCCCCGCAGTAAATGCATATATCATCGAACACCACAGTCTTCCCTTTGTTATAAAAAAAAGCATTTCAAAATTACAATTGTGATTTAATATACATGAACATAATATCTTTACCATTGATCAAATTCAGAATTGAAACATCCAATGTCCAGACCAATAGCAATTCTTTTTTTAATTGACCATACCTGCATAATATGCTGCTTCTATTTCTGAAGCATAAGTGAGACTCTCCCTTACTATCAGTTTGTCCCTAAATCTGCCAGCATGAAATAATGGGTCTCCACATATGTAAAGAAGTTCCTCTTCCACACGTAAAACCGCCCTGGACTCTGGAAGTGTTAGTTTAGCTGCACTATAAACAAGCCGTCTTTTACCACATTCCCTGCATGCAATGCTAGATCTAACCTTGGCTGTAAAGAAAATGCATGCAATTATTACTAATAAATTATATCTGTTGCAGCAAATTTAACATTGTACGAAACATTTTTCCAGATTTTGTTTTAATGTTAGTTAAACATGAAATCTATTTGTATATTGTTGCAGAAGAAATTTTGACATGCATTATTGTTGTAAATCATATGTTTACAAAAGTGTTTACAGTTTACCTGTTAGATTTAATTTTTACGGACATGTTAGAAAGTTCACATGAAAGATTTTTTGATTCATGACTATTTGTAGGAAATTTAGGCCATAATAAGTTGATATATGTAATATGATATTGAAAATTAAAGATTTGCTGTGATTTTTGGCATGAAATTATTTGGTGCATGTGCACTCAGTAATAATCGTATATTTCGCTGAGCATTTTCTAGCGATTCTTTTGAAATTGTGTGATTTGAAAGTAATATGAATTTCATATGTGCTAATTTACTAGGGTACATGTGTAATATTTATTGAAAAAGTATTTATTTATAATTGAGAGTGATGTTAACTTGTCAATCGCTGAGAATGTGGTTAATGTGTAATTTCAAGTACTTGTACATTTTTTTTTATGTATTTACAGTAAATCACGTCACATCACGTCACATCATGTTACGTCATCATACATGTTGCTGTCACTGGAAATAAAGATGTGCATTTACAAAAGGAGTTAAATTCTCTGTCCATGAACTTACATGATGATAGTCAGTACA